ACCCAATTATGAAAAATTCGCGGCCTCGGTGGGAGTCGAACCCACACAGCAGAGGAGGCTTTTGCGCCGTCAGCGCTATACCATGGAGCTAAGAGGCTCAAAATGCGCCTTGAGTCTACTCACATATGGATCGATTTTACCGCCCAAGTTACTGCTCCTACGGAAGCCACCAAGCTGTCTGCCCAGGCAGGACTCCCTAAGCAATCATCTACAACCCACCAGAATGACTAGCAGGCTCATTTCCCTGGTAGGGGGCTTTGGCAGATCTGCTTAATTCAGTTGACCCAATTGTGGAAAATTCGCGGCCACTACTACTACTACTACTAATATTTATACTTCCAGTAGAAGCGAACAGGTGAATTTCAGGAGGCAGTTCAGAAGTAGGAGATGTGATGGTTGAAACAGAAAAGTTTATTTGCCTGACGTTTCGGAGGCTGTGTAGGCTGTGCATCTATCACCCTATTCTGCGGTTATGTCTGATGATGGGTTCAAACCAGCCTCCGAAACGTCAGACAAATAAAATGTTTGTTCCAGCGATTACATCTTATACTTCTGAACTACTACTTTTATTACTACTACTACTACTACCACTTATACCACTACTGCGTCCACTACTACTTCTACTCATTATACTATTGTTAATACTACTAATACTGCTACTGTGACAGTCCTGAGGTCAGTGTCACTACCGCTGACTCTCACCTTCCTTTTGCTGTCAAGCCTTTGCTATCTTGGGGGGACCTTCTGTAGTCGACGATCATATCGCAGGGGCTTAAGTGAGTTAAACCCGAGCAACTGCTAGTACCTTTTCTGCCAGTATGGTCTATCTTGTTATTTCAACCCCTAAAATTTAAAACCAAATAGTTTAGGCTCTCAGCAACTGACTGCACAGATAAGATGGTTAATTCCAAAAAGCTAAACCCCGTTCTTAAACCAGCTAAATTGCTGTCGTAGAACTGTGGCTTTTTTGTGGGTGGTCAGTGTCGAGGCAAGGGGTGATGGAGACCCGGACAGCATATGTGACATGTGCTATTTATAGTGAAAGACGACCTGCAGAAATTTTAGTTTCCGCGTAAAATATTCCTGTTAGGCCTAGCCAGGGCACGCACAGAGCCGTACTGAACAGTAGCCACTGGGCGGAGTTGTGCAGAGTTATGGTCAGGCGTTCCCACGCTAGCGCCTACTCGCAACGGGTTAGGCGGTTGCCATTTTACATTGGACAGGCCTCGTTAGGCATAAAAACGGTGGGTTTTTTTTCACCCTTCCAGTTGCCACAAGCACAACCGTGTCTGTCTGTCTGTCTGTCTCGGCGACCGACGCAGGAT